TTAGTCAATTTTCATCTTCTTTTGTTTTTCATAAAATCCTCAGTCAGTCGAGGGTTGAAATCTTAGCTATCAAATCCTCATGGACGCAGGTTTGCACACGCAGAACAAGACCAAGTATGATTGATCTACCTTCTTTTAAATAGCTGTCACTGACGGATTAGTCTTTGGTTCGTTGGACTTCATAAGTCACGTTCCTTTCACATCACGCAATGAAAATCGATCGGTCACGAGTCAAAGAGCCGTGACAAGGAACGTGCTGATTCTAAAGTGCTATCTTTTTCTCGTCATTCCTATCTCTTCGTTCATTAAATTTCAAGGCTGAGATCGAAAATAAACGAGATGAACTGTCACCTATCGGCAAAGTAAAATTTATGCAATTCAAACTGTGTTTATTTTCTTTCCCGAGTCTTGTAATTAAATTATTTTCATGGAAACCGAAAATACCATCTGGCTAAGCTCTGACTTCCTCTTTTTAGTCGAAAGAGGAATGGGAGAGGCTTTCGGGTGTTGACTTTGGGTAAATTCCCAGAAGTTCTAAATTCAACCACACTTCCGGTCATCAGGAATGAGCTTTCTATTTCAAAGCGATCATATTTCACGTCCGGTGGCCTATAAGCAGTCTGGTAATTGCCAGAACAGCTTGACGCTGCTAGTGTGGAAAGAAGAGCCATTCATAAAAGGTTGGTAAATGGATGAAATCGTGTGCTTTACTCAGAGGATAACTGGAATGTACAAGCTTAACAAATTTTATTGTTAAACGCTGTAGTATGAGCGGTGTGTTTGGACTTCGTCATGTAGACTTTGAACTATCTCAAATTGACTCAGGAAATCGAAATTTCAGCGATCAAATTTGCCAAAACTGTACTTAAACTTTCTTCTCGAATCATTCTTAAGATAATCCAAGGAGGAATTTGTTTCACCGAGGTCTGAAAGCTGTATTGAAATAGGAATTTTTTGGTGAGTTTTTGAATGACAATATTATCGAACCTTTCTTAGTTTCAGTTTCACGTGCAATTGAACAGGGATGTATTTCCCAAGACTTGTCAAGGTTGAGTGAATGTCTGTGCTTGGTGTTTTTAATTTATACAGTTTCGCAGTATCAAATGCAATCAGCACGGAGTTAGGCCTTTATATCACAGGCGGCCAAAGCACACGTCTCGAGAGAACAGGAATGGCTAAGTTGCAGAATACCCTGCCACTCATTTACATGTCATTAACGTGACGCTTTCATGAATTAATAGTTTGCTTTCTCTCGAGACGTGAACTTCGGCCGCCTGTGCTTGCATAGATTATACTGGCATAATTTTTGACATAATTTAAAAAAACGAGCATAATTTTTGCACTTTTTATAAAAGTAGCACTGCTAGCATAAGCATTTTTATTTTACTAGATCACAAGAGTCATCCCCAGCTTGATCTCTAAGATCCGTTTATTGCTGCTTAACCTACGTGTAGCCGTTCCCTTTCCCCCCCAAGGTGAAACGGAAGCCTCCGTTTCACCTTGGCGGGGGGGGGGGGGAGGGTACGGCTACACGCAGGCTAATTGTTGCGTCGCCCCTTGTTGAGAGGACTGGGCGCACTGGAAGTAGAGACTGCGTTGGTCCCAATTCCTCTCTTTATAAGGAACAAAATGTTAGTCGTTGTGTTTTAACAGAGGACGGAAATATTATGCTTTTTTAACAGTAAATTTATAATTTGGTTATGATTTGTGTTTCTTATTTGAAAAGCACACGTTAAGAAAAAATAGCGCAATTTTCAAAACTGTTAGTGCTGGTAACATGATATCGGTTACTTTTACTCGCCTTGTCTATGAGGCCGAGGGCCTTCTCGAGTATTCCTTGACTCGTATTTTTTTCTGCAGAGAATAAAATGGTTGAATCTGTCGATGCCAGGTCAAAAACATGTTGCCGCGAACTTTTTAAACGAGTTGCAGACCGTCGACCCCATTTTACGGAGGTGGATCCTGAAGCGGAATTTTGGCAACAGAGGGGACAGTGCAGCCGATTTGGCCTGGTGACCCCTTTATTTGCAGCCTTGATGTTCCTTGTCGATGTTGTTATGGACTGCGAAATGGCTGCAACGCACTACAGAGAGGGGAACCACAAATGGGCAGCATATACGCTGGCCGTAGTCATATTTTCGCTGGTTTTTATTGAGGTCTTGTCAGCCATATTTTACCGTGACGATCAAACAAATGAAGGAAAAAGTTCGTGGCTGGAATATTTCCAATTACAAGTGAAGCCTTGGTTTTATGCTGTCCATTTGATCTTTTGCGGTCGTTTTCTACGGTAAGGTTAGATAAAGAGTTTAACTCAAATGAGATTTTAAATTTCTTGGTTAAAATTTTTCCGAGCCACACGTCTATGGGTGATTCCGAGCACAGTAAAGATCCTGCGGTAAGGGTGAGGTTCTTAGAGATGAGCCTTTCTTCAAAAGTTAGTTGTTGGTGTGGCTTCATTCACTCGTTACCTACATGATATGCTGAGCAGTGGATGATTTTGTCATTATTTTTCTTGGTCGCTTGTTGTATGAATGACAATCTCAGAGCTTGTAAGCTGTGCACTTAACTAATACCCAATTTACACCAAAGCTATGGTACTTTTTAAAGCTGTTTTGTCCAACACGCTTTAAATTATTTTTTCCTCATAGGATTTGCTCAAACTGCTGTTTGTCGACTTCAAAAGAAACACTCTTAAATTGATTGTTGTTAGAAGTTTCCTCGCTTTCGGACGCTCTTGGAGTTAATTTAAGTGTGTTTTTCTAAAAGATTGTTTCAGATACTCAAGACTGTGCGTTTCATAAGAAGAATTTCTACGCCGCATAAAGAAAATAGTGAGTTGTATCGGTTGTATATATCCCAACAAGTAGACACAAGTACATTGAGCGTTGTGGAAGCGTTTACCGAAGAAGCACCCCAGGTAGGTGAAGCCGTTAGGGGACTGGGGAAAATTTTTCTTTTCTTCGTTCAAGGGTTAGGGGTTAGGACTCCGGAATGGAACTGAGAGGAACTGCGTAGGGTTTTCCATCCGTTAAATTTGAAATAGCGGTTGTTTTACTCCTCGCGAAAGTTTTGAATCGATTTCCCTTGAAATGGGAAACAGGCGTTAAAGAAATCTCGAACTCAGATCCTACCATGTAATTGTAACTGAATTGTAGGGACCTTACCGCTTGGCCGTGAAAGGCCAGGGTACGAGACTAGCGTCAAATTTGCCACGAATAGTCATAGTAACCGAATTAAAATTCCAGACTAAAAGGAGAGTAATCACTACGAAGGAACCAAAAGCAAATTTTCCTGAAAGCCTCTGAGAACCCAAAGTAAAAACAAGCAGCCAACCTGATAGGCGGAAAAACATGTAATGCAAGTTTTGAGTCCTGCATCTGATTGGTTCAGAGATTGTTGCCAGTTTTCTGAACTAATTACCAAGCGAAGTAAAACCAAGCGAAGTAAAGCAAAACCAATCATTCATTGGGCCTATTTCAAAATTCAATCGAAAATTGTTTCAGTAGGTGTTTCCCTTAATCAAAGAAAGCTATTATAACATGTGCGGTTGATCAGAAAGACCGGCTTACTTTTTGGACGAACAAAGTGAAAAAAAAAGCTAATAAGTATGGACTAAAACAGTGGATAGAGATAGAATAAGACAGATGGTTTTTTTTTCTTCATCCCATACTCGTGAAAAGACGAAAAACATCTTTCTCTAGTGGATAGAAATGTGGGCGCACTTTGATTGGCTACTCAAACCGCGAATATCCTTTACTATTCACCTCCGAGCAACGTGCGCAAGGTATGCTGGGATAAATGAATTAAAATCATCTCTTTTTGCGGTATGATGTCATTGTTTTAGTATATATACTGAGAGAATTATTCACCTCAATGTCAGTGGCTAGCGGTAGATATTTACTTAGCCGCACCCGGCTCGGTAAATATCCACCACCAGCTACTTCGGCGAACAGTTGTTAAATATCATTTTTATCTTTAGGTTGCCCTACAGATGTACATCCTGGTTCAGAAATCAAATTTGGACTGGACATCTTTTGCGGATTGGTTTATTTTAGTGAACATCATCAAGTCTTTAAGTTTCTTCTCTTTTAATCTGCTCAATTTTGGCAGAATGTTACGCTTAGGAAGAGAAGAGAGCCAATTATTGGAACTCTTCAGCTTTGCCTCTCTTTTTCACTTCGCTTGGCGTTTGTCTATGGTTGCTTCTCGTATCCTGGCTTTGGTGCTTTTCGCTTCTCTTTACCAAGCCTGGGTTTTCGCCGTCGTTTGTGTCCATTTGTTGTTCTCCTACATGCTTTTACGTGGACAGCCAAATGTTTACTTCGAAGAAGGATGGGTATACGACAAAATTCTCAGATTTGCGTTTGCTTTCGTAAACGTGTTTTGTTTCTTTCCATTGGCGGGCAAAGACACTCGAAAGTGGGGAGGCCCTTATTATATGGTGACGTTCATCGAAAACTCCATCTTAGTGTTGATGTGGTATTTCTATAGCGACCGGAAGCATTCTTATAAGGTGATGATGTTGATAGCAGAGTGGGGCTTATTTTTTTTTGGTCAGCTCTCCTTATTAGTTTATTACGGTGTTTTTCATCCCTCCTTAAAAGACCAAAACGATGCTGGTTCCTGTCGCATTATTTCCTCTCTTCCAATCGAATTACGACCCCCCGAGAAAGTTGTACCGGGTCAAGAGAAAGAAAATGGACAAAATGTTACTCAACAGTATGAAAGTAACGTTTGAATTCTCTTTGACACTGAAGTGGGCGGAATATTATAGCACTTTTTATCTTCAAAGGGTGTTCTAAATTTCTTTGTTCTGATGATATGCTGGCGCACAGAAACAAACCAACTATCAGAATATATTTTAATGATTCCTCAAGAACAAAATTAAATATATCAGTTAGGTCATTTGTACCTACAAACCTGCATCGCGCCTAGAAGCCAGGCAAACTTGCATAAATAACGAAATAACTTAGAACTAGCAAAATTTTTAGATCTGGGTCGATATATATAAAGACACCTATTTTTAAAAAAGGAACTTCTGCGGAGTTGTTTCAAAGACTAATTTTTACATGTGTGATATACACGGGTAAAGTCCGACCTGTAATTACAAGAATTTAGTAAAACAATTTCCATGGTGGAATTTACACGTGTATCTCGACTTAGTACACAAGCGTAAATTTCAATTGTAGAATTACCTTTGTAAAATTATACAAGAGGGCCTCAATGGGCGATGGATCTTAAAACTAATGGTTCATTTCTTCCCGTTAGTTTTAAAAAAAGCTTTTTTCCGGTTAATCTTCCTTATGACTAATGGCTAAAATTTGTCAATTTTCACTCCAAACGGCTATTTCTTCTGCCGTTTTTACAGCTTGCGGTTATAGCCCATTGAGACCGTCTTACAACTGTAGACTCCGCTTGAAAGTAAAAGCATCTTTCACATATGCAATTAAAAATCGCTATTTCCCTCGCAATACATGCGGCATTGTTTCGTTTGATTACAGTTTTATTCTTGTCAGTCGTTGAGTATGTTATCCAAACGTAAAACTTTCAAGCAATGTAGACTATATCAACAGTATACTTCCAAAGAGTTCCTGAACTATGTTATCGTCATCGTATAGTAAAATACGTTGTTAATATGTGAATGAAGAAGAAAATAAAAAAATGAATAGGCTTCGAAAAAGAATTGAGCTTAGGCAGGAGCCCATTATGGGCTCCTGGCCTAGGTTAAGATGGAGCCTAGTGCCAGCCCTCTCTCGACCCCTTCAAGACGACAAATGTAATCGGCATTCTTCATGTGTGAAGATTTTTGATTCAGGAATTTTGTTTGAGACAAGGGTTAAAGGATCGCATTGTTCCTACATGACTAAGCCTATATTGGGGACCGTTCCGTTGATTAAGCACTAAGATGTGCTTGAATGATCTACATTGATATGCAAATAAAAAAGCTTGACTCAGCTTTTTAATAGAGGACAACTTCCCCCTCCCCTCCTCCCCAAGGTTTGGGTTCTTGATAACATCAGACTTTATATTAAAGTTCACACGGCAACCAGGTGGACAATCAGACATAGTTTGAAGCTACACTGGTTTGCAGATTTAATGAATGTAACCGAGGAAGTTACAATTCATAGACCCAACGTTTCGACACTCCTGTCTAGTGCCTTCATCAGGGGTGATCTAAACGCTGCAACAAGAGGTCCTTTTATATGATCACTAATTAGCGGCCTTTTTTCTGACGAGGTGTAAATAGGCGTCAGGAAGCAGACCGCCATCGTCACGATTTAAAGGAGCGTGGGCGGAGTTAATGTGCCAAGCCTCCAAACAAAGGCGCTGGTGGTAACGCCGATTAGCAGTGATCATTTTAGAATTATCCCACCCAATTGTATGGTTGGTTAGGCAAGTATGCTCCGATAAAGCTGAATTTTCCTTTTTGCAAAGAAAAACCGCTTTTTGGTGCTCTTTTAACCGTGTACCAAACTGGCGTTTGGTCTGTCCGATGTATTCGTTATCACAGTCATTGCAAGGAATAGAATAAATGGCGTCGGTTCGTTGTTCTTTCGTGACAGGATCCTTAGGTTTGGCGAAAATATGCCCCAAAGTCTGAAAAGGTTTTTGAGCAACATCAGACTTTGCAAACGAGTAACGGCATAAAAAAGCAGAAATAATTTTCGACTTTTTGGAGCGAACTTGTCGCTCTGAGAGCTGAAACACGATCACTGTTCTCTTTCATTATTAACTGTCTGTATCATTTCCGGGAAAGAGAGAAAAATCCTCTCGTTATGGAGCGGGAGACAGACGATGCCGGGTGCGACGAGTTGGGAGTGTCTGGGGTGTGTCTCGACCCAGCCTCCTCTCGCCAAAATAACTTGATAATTATACTTTGAAGTTGCGTGACACATTACGAAATATTTATCTTGGGTGACTTCGATCCCCGGACCAATTTCCTCTGCTTTCGCTGACGTGCGAGGTTTGATAACGAAAAATTTACATTTCATTTGTACCATATGCTGTAGATATCAGGATCACATGCTGATGTTATGGAAAGAACGATCGGAGCAGTTTTTGTCCTTGTCATGTGATTCTATCGTGACAGACAAGTCACGCCTAGTACCCACAGTTCCCCTCGCCCTCCTTAGTGTCTAGTACCAGTATTCTTGCAATCGTGTTTCGTGGCACGTTTGGTTCGATTATTAACGTCTTTACTCGAAGTGGACTCGAACTCAAGCGCGATGGTGGGTATACAAAAATTTTAATACCTTACGCACTCTTTTCATCTTTGCTCCAACTAATTAGGCCTTAACTGGCCGTAGTTTTACCATAATCCGACGGTTTGACTTATGCTTAAGACTGGGAATTTTTTCGGATCTGCAGCCCGGCCCCTGTGACTAGAATATGTAACTTCTTAACTCTGGACTTTGTTTCTTACTTCGTCCCCTCAAGGTTAAATGTATTTTCTGAAAATTAAGCACTTTACTTAAAGCTCTGAGGTTTACTTACTGAATAATCTACCACATGGCCTTCTTTCTGAGTCATTGACCACGTAGTTTGCATTTCGCAAGTTCTGAAATATAATTTGCATGGGACAAACTTACCCATGCATTTAGGACAAATTTTCGATGTTAGACAAGCTTATTTATATTAACTACTAGCAACTGCATTTTTACTGGGTGAAAAGAACAGAGGCGCATTTTCAATAGAATTACCAGAATGGGGTCGCACGTTTTTGGGGATTTTGGGGGTAAGCAAATTGTGTTTTAAAAGTAAGAATTTAAAAATGGGAAGATCTTGGAGGGGTGGGGTGATACTGTGTTTTGGATCCCTCTCTCCAAGAGGATGGTTGGATCAGTTCTTTCCTCTTCCCTTCTACTGCTACATTTCTCCCCTTTGGACTGTGAGTTTAGAGAGACCACTGAAAAAAAATCTTGGCAAATGTTCATGGCTGTTGTTGCTGCTCATGTTCCTGTTGGACACAGGAATGAGAAAGGTCCAAAACTTAAGTGTTTTTTTGTAAAGGTTGGCATGTTTTTCAGTTTATGCATGCTTAGTGTTAAACAAATTGATATCATATTTAAATGAACTTTTCCTGTTTAAACAAGGGAAACTATATCAAAATTGTACCATTGATAAAGTGAAATCACAACATTTTATCTCTGTCTGTCTTCTCAAAATCACAGGTGAGTGCAAGAGCCAAAATTTGTGTAGAAGTCCACAAAATAATGTTATGTGATTGATAATTTTTTGGAGAATGTAATAAAGAACCAGAGAAATTTGCACAATTACTTTTATTTTTTAGGAGAAAGAAGCTTTGTGTATTTGTATCACTGGTGCTGCTGGACAGATTGCTTATTCCCTTCTTTATTCCATTTGCAAAGGAGATGTGTTTGGAACGCAGCAGGTAAGAATAAAGGATATCACTAACTAGATCAGTGTTAGGCTTTGGAAAATGAATCCAATTTTTAAACAAAATGAGCCAATAGAAGTCACTTATTGTGGTTCCTCAACATTTCTTCAATGTTTTTGGTGTCTTCAGACCATAAATAATGGATATATTCTTTTCCTCAGCCACTGATTGTGCACTTATTGGATATTGTTCCTATGATGCCTGTCTTGGAAGGCGTAGTGATGGAATTACAGGACTGTGCCTTTCCATTGTTGCAAAGTAAGAATCCTTTAACCCTATAACTCCCATGAGTGACCAAGACAGAATTTCTCCTTACAATATCAATACAATATCAACCAGCTAAGTGATGAGAATAGAGAAAAATATAGAATTAGGGAAAATTAGTTGATCCAACACTTAATTCTCTGAACTAACATTAGAAGAATTGTATGATTGGAAGTAAGGAGAATTACAAATTTGACGTAGGAGTCAAAGGGTTAAAACAAGAGAAACTCTCAATCTTGTAAAATAATAGTCTATTAGACTTTGACTTAATGTTTGTTATTCTGTATTTCAAGGGTACTTAGGGTTAGGCTGTCCAAAAACTTCTGATGCACTGAGACATTCTCCCTGCAAATTTTCTTGAATTTTCATATGAAATTAAAGGAGATTTTGATGTTGCAGGAAAAGTCACCTCGGACTTAATTCTTTACAATCCTTTGTGTATTTGGTAGAGTTGAGGATATACAAAATAGAGTTACATCCCAGCACACCTGTGTCAGGTTAACCCTTTACACCCTAAGATCAGTATACACATTCTCCATACTGTTCTCTATACATTTCCTAAGGTGCTGATAAGGAGAATTTGCTTAATAATCAAGAGCTCTTGTACTTGTTGATCATTTCCATCACTCTCGTGACCTTACTGTATGATTTAAGGATGATATCGTAAGGAGAAATTAGATGCTAGTCACTCTAAGGGGTGAAAGGGTTAACAATGATATCTGCTATACAAGGAACATAACATGTACGTTGTATCCTCTATTTATCTCTGTCAGACATAATTGCGACATCCGAGCCAAGTGTGGCATTTGCCAACATTGATGTGGCCATTCTTGTTGGAGCCATGCCGCGAAAACAAGGAATGGAGAGAAAAGATCTTCTGAAAGCCAATGCTAAGATCTTTGTTGCACAGGGAAAGGCTCTGAATGATTATGCCAAGAAGACTGTCAAGGTACTATGCTGGTGAAAACCACCATTCTATTGTTGTTGTTTATCATTTTACTACAATTCATGGTTATAAGCCCCCAACCCAAATCCTCCACTACTTGGTTTTCCCTTTCACTTCAAAGATTTTTGTTTTTGTTTTCATAGCTTGATATTGGATTGTTATTGTGAGAAGACATTCTGTGTTGGTCACTCATGGGAGATGAAGCGTTAACTGAGATCAAAGTCTTCTCCTAATTCTGGGCTTATTAAAACCAAACTGGCTTCACTTGAATCCTCAAATCTTAATTGTAATGGTACTTAGTATTCACATCAATAAAAAATTTTATTGAGACCATGCTTTTTACAGGACAGTTTCTTCTAGGAACAAACTAAATGAAGCCCTCTGAGAACATTTGTGAATGATATAGATATTTTGATGGTGCTTAATAACTCCTTGTTAATGGATTTAATTTCACAGGTTTTGGTTGTTGGAAACCCAGCAAACACAAACTGCATGATGGCCAAGATGAATGCTCCGTCCATTCCTCCTGAAAATTT